TTGCCTTTAACAAAATTCAATTTTGGAAAATTTTAAAAAATCCACAAAATTTTTTTATATAATCCGCGACATTTTTATTTGTTTTTGTTTTAAATCCGCAAGAAACCAAATCGAAAATAATTAATAAGTAAAAACTTATTCATTCTTGATCAAACAGAGCTTTAAAGGGTTCAGTTTTGAATCCAAAATGCCACTTTATAAATATGAAATAGAGGATCACTTTAAACTAGGTCTACACTTTAATGTAATATCAAGTTATGTGCAGAGAAATACACTATAAACAATATTTTAAATGCACATATGCTGTGCATATGTACAAGTTTATCTGTACAGTGTACAATGCAAGTTTTAACGGAGATCTGACATGTACAGTGTACAGTCTAAGTTTTAACGGAAATCTGATATTTACAGTATCGGAAAAAGGGACATTGTACAGTGTACAATTTTTCAGAAAACTGGCATGTACAGTTTACAATTTATTAGCAAACTGACATGTAGAGGGTACAATTTATCAGGAAAATAGCATGTACAGTGTACAATTTATCAGAAAACTGACATGTACAGTGTACAATATATCAGAAAACTGACATGTACAGGGTACAATTTATCAGAAAACTAACATGTACAGGGTACAGTGTACTATTTATTAAAAAAACTGACATGTACAGTTTACAGTTTATCGGAAAGTGGCACAATTTATTAGAAAACTGACATGTACATTAAACAGTGTACAATTCATCGCAATAACGGATATGTGGTATGTACATAACTTATGGGAAAACTGGTATGGCGACTGATAAATGCTCAAATACTTTTCTTCTAAGAAGTAAAGATGCATTTTTTATAATTTATTCAAAATTAATATTTTTCGATACAAATATTCTAAACAATAAAGAAATTTGATATGACAATTTTTGTTAAGATACAGTAAGAGCCAGAAAACTGTGAAATATGAAGACGACATGAAAACAATGCTATAATGTATTTGATGTTTTTACGCGGCAAATAGTTGTGCAGTGGCTTATTCAATAATTTATTGAGTGAACTGGGTCTGTTTACAGTTTTTTCCATTTCTGTGTCTCTTGTTCATTAGATTATTTAAGGACGCAACTCGAGTCTGAAAGTCGTCTTTCTATTCCAGAGTTTTTGTTTCTCACTAAAGGGACTGTTTACTTGTCTCAAATTCTAATTATATCATTCTTTTTTAATTACTTGTTGAGAATCCCGGGATCAAGCATTGATCTCAATCTTATGCAAATCTACGGATTAAATCAGATCTACGGATTAAATCAGATCTACGGATTAAATCATATCTACGGATTAAATCAGATCAGCGGATTAAATCAGATCTACGGATTAAATCAGATCTACGGATTAAAGCAGATCTACGGATTGAATCAGATCTACGGATTAAATTTAATCCTTTTTTGATATCCCCTGGTGGTCATATCCTGTAGCAATACCTTCAATTAAGGGATCAAATATCTGTTTTAAAGTGCCCACATTGGATATCAAGATCAAGCGTTCTAGATTAAAGATACTCATACAAAAGTTCTATCTCTGATAACATAAACCGTTGATATTTCTAACAATGAATCCTTCTGCTGCAAATCAAAGTTTGAAACATACAAGGTTTACAGGTTGCTAAGATAATGAGATCACAAAATTCGAGTTTGTGGCAAGTAATCAAGTCCTTTGATAGATATAAAGTAGGAATTCAATCTGAGTCATCAAATAACAATACTAAAATTCGAAAACAATGAAACTAATAAAAACTTGATGAATTTTGAATTTATATGTTACATCTTAACCTCAAGGAGGCCAGACTTGAACCTCGCCACCCGTCCTCCCCACACAGTTCAAGGGGGGCGGGGGAGGGGGCGTGGATATCCTCGGGGGGCGTGGTTTCTCCACAAGAGGCGGAGGACAAGGATCCTGAAAAAAAGATAATTTATAAATATAAATAGAAATAGAAATAGAAATAGAAATAGAAATAGAAATAGAAATAAAAATGGTCCAATGAAAATGGTCCAATGAAAATGGTCCAATGAAAATGAAACACGTAGATTATTACATGATGAAACACAGCAACTGTATAGTTTACGCAGACTAATTTCACTTAATAATGTGAAATTTAATCTACTTAATGATAAACTATTTGATGCATAATAAACTCAAATGCACACATATCTAGTTTTCTTGAAGGGACTGTAAGCGTAATTCCTAGTGACCCTCCATGCGAAGATGACAATGCCCGATTTACAACGGTACTTTTGAAACATTAATCTGATCAAAAATATATAAGATTTCGTTTTTTTCTCCATTCCTTTTTATAAACAAGAAATGCGCAAGCCACTTTCACAGAGAACCCGGAAATGAAATAAATAGTTTAAAGAACATATGATATCTAATTCAAACTTTAAAATGTGTATGCTGACAAAAAAGTATTTAGAAAAAAGGCTAAAATATTATGTTTAATGGGTCAAATTGTGGTCAAAAGTCACAGCTTTCTGGAATATTGACAGAACCGTTAAATCCACGTGAACGGTACCGTTATAAATCGGGCATTGCCATCTTTGTATGGAGGGTTACTTGAAATTACACTAAACGTCTTTTTAAATATCATCTTTCTTTTCCATAGTTTTATAGGTATAACGTAAATAATGAGGGTGCACCTGAGTATCCTGAGGGTGACCAGATATGCGAGAATGAGGGTATATGTAAACCTGAATATCCTGAGGGTGACCAGCTATGGGAGAATGAGGGTATACCTGGGTATCCTGAGGGTGACAAGCTATGGGAGAATGAGGGTATATGTAAATTTGAATATCCTGAGGGTGACCAACTATGGGAGAATGAGGGTATACCTGAATATCCTGAGGGTGACCAACTATGGGAGAATGAGGGTAAACCTGAATATCCTGAGGGTGACCAACTATGGGAGAATGAGGGTATACCTGGGTATCCTGAGGGTGACAAGCTATGGGAGAATGAGGGTATATGTAAATTTGAATATCCTGAGGGTGACCAACTATGGGAGAATGAGGGTATACCTGGGTATCCTGAGGGTGACCAGGTATGGGAGAATGAGGGTATATGTATACCTCAGTATCCTGAGGGTGACCAGCTATGGGAGAATGAGGGTATATGTAAACCTAAATATCCTGAGGGTGAACAACTATGGGAGAATGAGGGTATACCTGAGTATCCTGAGGGTGACCAGCTATGGGAAAATGAGGGTATATGTATACCTGAGTATCCTGAGGGTGACCAGTTATGGGAGAATGAGGGAATGGATCCAAGGGGAGGAAGAGAATGAGAAGGAAGAAGAGGGGAAGGAGAGTGAAGAATTGAATTTGACTGAACACCCTTTTTTGATAAGTTTCAATTTTTTTGACTATTAGATTAGTCTTTTTGTAAGTGCACAATCGGTCAAAAGACCTATTTGTGGTTTTAGGGGATGACAGAACAGTTTTTTTTTTATTTTCTCAATCGGCCATAGTTTAGATTTTTGGTTTTTATTTTTTCAATCGGCCATAATATGGACTTTTATTTTTATTTTCTCAATCGGCCAAAGTTTAGATTTTTGGTTTTTATTTTTTTAATCGGCCATAATATGGACTTTTATTTTTATTTTCTAATCAGCCTTACTTGGGATTTTTATTTATTGAAAACTATCCTTTCGTTGTTTCTTCCACTTGGCTCGTCTATTCTGAAACCATACCTGAACATTCTTTAATCAATTATAATGGAACTGTATTATCTAATCAATTATAATGGAACTCTATTCTTTAATCAATTATAATGGAACTCTATTCTTTAACCAATTATAATGGAACTCTATTCTTTAATCAATTATAATAGAACTCTATTCTTTAATCAATTATAATGGAATTTTATCCTTTTATCAATTTATATTAAAACTTAATTCTAAAAATAATCAAATTGAGATGTAATTCTTAAATCAAAATAGTTGCTCAATCTTTCACCATTTTTTCTTCGATAAAGCAAAAATGATTTTTATTTGCGGATTTTGATTCCGGCTCTATATCTGTGAGCATCTTCTCTTTGTGATTGTAATTTTGAGCATTCATAAACCTCCTATGTGGGGCCATGTAAGGTCCCACACAAAATTTGGGCCCAATCAGTTCAGCCGTTTCGACGTTTATTACAAAAGAACAAACAAACAAACAGTTACCCCGACAAGCAAAGTATTTATATAGATAAATTCTTCATGTCGGATTAGAATTTGAGTCGGATAAATATCTGCTATTTTATTGTTTTCACTAAAATTTTACTTATAAATAACTTTCCTGGGTTTTAATTATTATAAACCGAAATTAGTTACAAAAATTGTTTATAATAAAAAGTTTTAAAACGTAATGCAGTCTCTCAAAGAATCTCTCTCTTTCGCTGACTTTTGTCTGTTCAAATAAGATACAAAAAGTTTTATTTTGATTAAAATATCAATAAATAAATAAAATTTTCATAAAAAGAAAAAAATAATTTAAAATGAATAAAAACTTTATTTTTGTTAATTAAGGTTAATGTTTTACAGCACTTTTAAAATAATTCTGAAGAATTTACTTTTCATAATACTTTTTCAGACTTATAGTTTTTATCCCTGATAATTTCATAAATTCAGATTTTCTCATTTTATTATGGTCGTAACACTACATTTTCAAATTAAACCCATAAAGTACATAATTAAAGTATTATATATACATTATACATTTTTACTGGTATAAAACATTTATTAAATAAAAACATAAACCCCCCCTCCCCTTATAGGCGCAACTAGAAATTGGGAAGAGGAGGAGGGTTTTGCTATTAATACAAATGGATTTTACATTTTTNGTAAGCTGCTTTTTTCTAACCCATGAAATATTTACAATGTTGGATTAATAACTTATCGGCTCTTCTCGGATATGATACAAAATTTTGAGCAACATTTATTTTTTTCAAACATTCGCGGTTTTTGTAGAAAGATTTTCATGTAATTTTTTATTTTTAATGTTACTGTAATTTGCCTGTTAATAACTTTATCTCGTTTTTTACAATGTTGCCATCCTGATCTTTAAGCAGCGCACTCTTTAAATGTAGGATAACTTTAAAATTATAATGACTGTCCCTTTAAAAGTTTTAAAAACGAACCTAAAACAAAGCTGCCCAAAATTAGACACAAGAAAAAAATATATTTCCAAAACTTTTCCCGGATTTTTGCAATTGATTTAAATTTTGCGGCATGCACGCGTCGAAGATGACGGCCATCTTGAATTCTTGGATAATACTCAGTAAGAAGGACGGAAATACTGCTGTTGATGATACATATGCCCCCAGTAATGAGGAGGGGGCGGGACCTGACCCAGGAAGTACCGGTAGGCGGGGCACTCGGGGGAGGAGCCGTCAGAGTTGTACGGGGAGAGGGGGGGAGGCGTGGTTCCTAATCCTGTGCGAGGGGAGGGGGGCGTGGCGGATATATCTCTCTCCCCCTCCCCCTCCTCCTCCTCCTCCTCCTCTTCTCCGTAAATATAATTTGATTCTCCAGGTCCCTTCTTCTTCTTTTTCCATTTCGCTCGACGGTTTTGAAACCAGACCTAATCCAAACAAAAAGAAAATATAAATAAGGAAACTAAATAAAAACAAAATTAAAGCAAAAATAAACAAAAATGAAAGAAGATTAAGAAAAAAGTAGAGAGTAATAAAAAAGGTAACACAATAAATCAAACAATCGGAAAAGAAATTATAAAAATATTATAAACTAAATCGAAACGCAAAATAAATACGAGAAAAAGTTACCAGAACAAACAAGAAAACCAAATATATTTTTTTCAATTAAAGAATTATGATTTTTGTATTAAAAAAGAATAAGGAAAAAGAAATAAAAAATATGAAAAAGGAAAATAAACAAATTAAAAATGGTAACAAATAAATGATAGAAAAAGAAGAAAAAGTAATATTATGTTAAGTATTCGGAAGGAATAAAATTAGGATTATAGAAATATCTATGGATTTAATGTTTAATGTTTGAGAATTACAGAAAATCTCTATTTTTAACTTATATTTTTTAACTTATATTTAATTCAACTTTGTAAAATTCTTCACTTGAAAAAATATCCAAAAGGGATTGCAGAGTGAAGGCTGTAGACGTCATAATTTAAAAGTTTTATTATGATCATTAATGAATGGGATATTGAGAGAATGAAGAATGGTCAGAGCGAATCTCTGCATTATTTTTGGTGTATGTAAAAAAACTACAATTTTAAAATTGTAATATTAATTTTGCCAAATACATTTATATTTGATTTTACATTATTTGATCTTTCACATTTTTGATAAGATTTAGGTTTAATCGGTTCGGGATAAACTGACATTTTACTTTGAATATAATTCGTCTAGTATTCAATATTATGAAAATAATATTTTCAAAAAAATGTTCAAATGTGCTTTTAGATAAAAAAGACTAATTAAAGGGCATATACAAACTTTCCTTAAGAAATAGTTGGAATCTATTTTTGAAAATGCGCAATTTGAAAAGAAAAATTTGAAAATGATTTAAAANCTTTTATGATGAAAGACAATTGTATTTCACCCCTCCCCTCCCCCTTTCCCTTGTAGATGGTTTCCGCCGCTGAGTGGGGGAAAATGCCGCCAGAAGAAGGGGGGGGGAATCCTCGCCTCTGTAATTATTTTCCCCCTGATGTATGACAGGAATATCAACAGATTGCACAGGGGGAAATATAAAAACTAAATCTTATACAATATTAACTTTTTTCAATTTTTAATACAAACAACTGAAATTTTTGGTTTAGCATTTTTATGTTTTCAAAATACTATTTTCTAGACAATTTTCCTTAATTATTGTGATTCAACATATGTTATATTTCTAAAACAGAAAAGGATTTTTATGAATTTTTAAATCGTGAATTTCTTAAGTTTCCCATGAAATCTTCAAGAAATTGACCGCGTCTGTAAAGTGGAGAATATAAGGTATATGTACCCGATCAGAGAGGTCCCTTTTGACCCCAATAGGGTCATTTCTTGACCCTAATTCATATTCTTCAATTCGAATCGCTTGTAAAAACAAAATTAACCCGGCTTGGCTAACCAAGATAAAAAAAGAGCCCTAGGTTGTCCCCTATCCAACCCTTGAAAGACCCCTAAATGAACCATATGAGGCCCCTGACTAACCCTTGACCCCTACAGGATCCCTGAAAGGCCCCTAAAACCAGGAGTTCCCTGAGAATCTCACCTAATTGTGAATTGTAAATATGTGTGGTCTTTCAACCTCTCAAACAGACAAACAGACAAACACACATAAAGGAAATGTTGACAAAATTTCAAGTGAACCCACATTTAAAAATGTCCATACCCGATTCACAACGGTACCCTTTCAACCTATTAATGAACAGCAATGAAGAAGATATTATTATTACTTTAATTAAACTACGTCGACATGTTCCTTTAATCAAACACATATTTAAACAAACACACATTTAGAAAAACACACTTTCGACAAACAAACATTACTTATCTTTCGATCTTTCTACTCATATTTCTATCTAATTTTTATCCATTTATTTAGTATCTTTCGTTTAGCTTTCTCTCATAATCTATCTATCCATTTCTTTCTATCTTTTTATCTATCTATCTATCTATCTATCTATCTATCTATCTATCTATCTATCTATCTATCTATCTATCTATCTATCTATCTATCTATCTATCTATCTATCTATCTATCTATCTATCTATCTATCTATCTATCTATCTATCTATCTATCTATCTATCTATCTATCTATCTATCTATCTATTTGTAAATCTATCTATCTATCTATCTTTTCACATTAAAACTTTGAGATGAGTATTTTTCGCATAAATCATTATAAATCCCAAGTTCTGATTTCAAAACAGAAAACTTTCTTCCATTAGTTTAAATTCGAAAGTCTCTGTCCTTACAGGGACTGTATTAGAGTGTATACGTAACGTTAAATGACTCCATGGATAGATTGGTATGTCCGATTAACAACGGTACCCTTAAAAGCCGTCTCTGATTGAATATGAATTAGATATCCATGTTTTAGTTTTTGAAAACTGATTATTTTTAATGGCGATTTCTCTACAAAAGTGACTTTCGCATTTCCTGCTTCAGAAACGATGGAAAATTTAAGTTTAAAAATTGATGTAATTTTCTGTTTTAATTAATAATTCGATGCTAAGGATATAAATTTTAAATCCGGTTTAACTTTGATGACATGGTTTAACCAAGAAATCTATACCATTGTTGTCAAACAAACTTTTGGTAAGAAAAGAAAATAATAAAAATAGAAAAGTTTGACGATAAATCTCTTTGTAAGTGTTAATGTTGAATTAAGTATTCATATTGTGTTTTCATGGTAAACCAACCATTTTTTACAGTATTTATTAACCATTTTTTAACGTTTTCAACCATTTTATTCATTTTCAACAATTTTCAACCATTTTCAACCATTTTCAACGTTTTCAACTATTTTTAACATTATCAACCATTTTCAAGCATTTTCAACCTTTTCAACTGTAATGTTCAACCATTTTCAACCCTTTTTCAACCATTTTCCAACCATTTTCAAGTATTTTTCAACCATTTTCAACCACTTTCAACCATTTTCAACCATTTTCAACCATGTTCAACCATACTCAACTTTTTTCTACAATTTTCAACTGTTTTAACCATTTTCAACCATTTTCAACCGTTCTCAACCATTTTCAACCATTTCCAACCATTTCCAACCATTTTCAACCATTTTCAACCATATTCAACCATTTTCAACCATTAGAAAACGTTTCCATCAATTTTTTCATCTTTTCAAAACACATTTTTGCAGTTTATGAATAAACGTCAAAACTAGAAGAAAATAGCAGAATTTTCCAGCTTTTAAGTTCTTTTTTAATGACATTGTATCAAATGCCACCCCCCACCCTATCTCCTTTTCACCTTGCCCCCCCTCCCCCCCGACTAACTAAATATTGTAAAAAATCGTAGGAATTTTTATATCTGTATAGAATGCCCGGATTTAGTTGTATTGGCGCTGTAAAAACGCTTACAGTAGATTTCTTGCCTTTTCACACCTCTCTAGCTTGTGCCGGCATTTATGGTATATCCTGTACACTGTACAGTTTATATATATATCTTGTACACTTTACAGTTCATATATATATATACATATATTATGTACACTGCACAGTTTATATATATATCCTGTACACTGTACAGTTTATATATATATCTTGTACACTTTACAGTTCATATATATATATATATATTATGTACACTGCACAGTTTACAGATATATCCTGTACACTGTACAGTTTATAGATATATCTTGTACACTGTACAGTTCATATATATATATATATTATGTACACTGTACAGTTCATATAAATATTCTATACATTGTACAGTTTATAGATACATCCTGTCCACTGTACTGTTTATAGATATATCTTGTACACTGTACAGTTCATATATATATATATATAATGTACACTGTACAATTCATATAAATATTCTATACACTGTACAGTTTTTAGATATATCCTGTACACTGTAAAGTTTATATATATTCTGGACATTGTACAGTTTATAGATACATCCTGTTTACTGTACAGTTTATAGATATAAACTGCACACATTGCTGGTACATTATCTACCCTGTAAAGTTAACAGATACATTCCTGGTACGTTATGTACATTGTACATTGTACAGTTTACAGATATATTCCTGGTACTCTTTGTACACTGTACACTGTACTGTTTACAGATACATTCACGGTACATTATGTACACTGTACACTGTACAGTTAACAGATACATTCACGGTACATTATGTACACTGTACACTCTACAGTTAACAGAGCCCAAAATTTAAGACAGGGTATCGTTATAAAAACCAGTTTTGAAACCCGGGTTTCACGGATGGGGTTAGGCAGTTTTGTAGATATCAATATTTTTGTTATGAAATATTTTATGATTTAGTTTCTTCATATTCTCCTTTTTTTCGAATCTCTTAAATTAAAATTTACTTAAATGTTAAGACCCCAAAATGGAAACTCGGGAGTTTCATTCAACGATACTCTTTTAAATTTCGGGCTCAGATACAATCCTGCTATATTATGTACACTGTAAACTATACAGTTAACAGATACATTCCTGCTACAATATGTACACTGTACAGTTTACGAACCAGTTCTTACCCAGTTGAGTTAAAAAGTACAGTTTGAGAGAATAAAAACCAAAACGAAGAAAGAATAAGTTTTTATTTCAGTGGCGCAGAGCTTAATCTTCTATATTTCAAGATTCTAATTTATTTCAGCAAAAACTCATGTGACTATTCTGCACCGCTGTGAAAAGATTCATTAATTTTTAAACTTTTAAAAGAATTCTGGAAGAATATAAAACACGGGTTTTCAATCTCAAATTTAGACATTTATATTAAATATTAAAGATGCGTAACAGTTTTCATTATTCAGTTACTCTCTCACTGGATGCTATTTTCATTTTTGCAGACACAGTGCAGTTTATTTAGCAATGCGATCTTGCCAGGGTACATTGCATAAAACGTGCTGGGTCAACTCTACACTAGGTAGTCCAAACTGGACAGTACGACTCAATGAATATACTATACAGATCGGACCATATAGTATCAAGCAACTTTTAGAGTGGGGTGAATTATCTCTATAAATTTTAGCTCGTTAAAAAAAATTAAGATTTAAATTAATTTTTTAATTCCAACAGACCTAGAAACTACTAGTTTACTAAAAATCATTAAAGTATTTTAGAATACACTTAATTATCTAATTTTTAAATTAAGGTCAAAACTGAGCCTATTTTAGAATACACTTAATTATCTAATTTTTAAATTAAGGTCAAAACTGAGCCTATTTTAGAATACACTTAATTATCTAATTTTTAAATTTAGGATCAAAACTGAGCCTATTTTAGAATACACTTAATTCTCTAATTTTTAAATTTTGAGTGAAAACTGAGCCAGTTTTAGAATACACTTGATTATCTCATTTTTAAATTTAGGGTTAAAAACTGAGCCTATTTTAGAATACACTTAAATTCTCTAATTTTTTAATTTAGGATCAAAACTGAGCCTATTTTAGAATACACTTAATTATCTAATTTTTAAATTTAGGATCAAAACTGATCCTATTTTAGAATACACTTAATTCTCTAATTTTTAAATTTAGGATCAAAACTGAGCCTATTTTAGAATACACTTAATTATCTAATTTTTAAATTTAGGATCAAAACTGAACCTATTTTACCGCTCAAAGTTCTAATTTGAAACAGTTTATTTATGAACTTTAATTTGGTTTTTTATGCGAATGAAATAAAAAGAAATATTTTGGCCAGATTGTTCTTTTTAACCCCTTCGTTATAAATTAAAGAAAGGGTGCACAACCGTGCAGTACAGTAACGAACAGTACTGTACACTATATGTAAAAAACTTACAATAAATAGAGTTGGATAGTTAAATGGAAATGGAAAAGCGAAAAAGTTAAAATATGTGTTTTAGTTATTAAGTAAATCAAATACTTTAACAGCCGCAACCACAGGTGTTTTTGCAGGGGGCAACATCGTTGTCACCCCCACTCATAAGAGGTAACTTAACGTGACCCTCCATATTAAGATTCACAACGCTACCTTTCAAACCTTGTGATTTCTGGATTTATGCAGCAGTAGCAAGCAAGTAAAATGACAGATAGTAAACGACGATATCTTCCTTACTGTTACTCAGATAAAGGTTTAAAGGGTAACTTTGTACTTCGGACATTTAACTCTTAAAATGGAAGGTCACTTGGAATTACGCTGAAAGTTCCTTTAAATAGTTTTAAAGGATTGTTTCTCACCTGTACTCTGGACTCTGTGAGACCAATTCTCATGGCCAGCTCCTCTCTCATGAATATGTCCGGGTAGTGGGTCTTACCGAAGCTTCTCTCCAACTCATTCAGCTGGCCGGGGGTAAACCTGTACAGTGTACATAATATAGTTATTTACATAATATTAGTTTATAAACCTGTACATAATATCAGTTTATGTACATAATTTCAGTTAATGTACATGATATCAATTTATGTACAAAATTTCAGTTTATGTACAATGTACCTAATATCATTTTATGTACCTAATATCATTTTATGTACAATGTTGAATGTACATAGTATTAGTTGATATATATAATAATATGTTTTGAACATAATATCAGTTTATGTACATAATATTAGTGTAAATACTGATAATAGTTGATGTATACAATATTAGTATATATGTACATTGTACAATGTATATAATATTAGTTTATGCAGAATAACCGGTTATTTCACATAATATGAATATGATGTACATAATATTAGTTTTAATACTGATAATAGTTGATGTATACAATATTAGTATATACAGAGCGTCCCATATCAAATTAGATTATCTCCAATCTTTAATACCAAAATAAACCCTTAATACTCGAAAAACTTATCATTTTCCGCAAGAAAATTCTTATATAAGCCTTATGTTATTTTTCAAAATGATTAATTCTAATGAAATTTTCTAATTAGTCCCGAAAATCGTAATTTAGACCCGTTCTCGGTCTAATGATGTGGGACACCCTGTATGTACAATGTATATAATATTAGTTTATGCAGAATAACAGGTTATTTCACATAATATGAATATGATGTACATACTATTATTTTGAAAATTTTATTTATAAATGTTGATTTACCTTGTCCTGTGTCTTTTTTGTTTTCCCGGTTTATCTGAGTCTTGATTACTATGATGAATTCCTCTATACATCTCCTTGTCTCCCTGCACCCCCCTGTACATCTCCTTGTCCCCCTGCACCCCCCTGTAGATATGCTTGTCCCCCTGCATGTGTCCCACTCTATCTCCGCCCAGCCCGCCGTATACATCACAGTGTCCCTTATCTCCTAGCAAAAGTAAAATGTAGGTAAAGTGAAAATAACTTTCGTTACAATTTTTGGCATTTTATTCTAAATTGTTTATAGAAAAAACATTTTGGTCATAATTAACGAATTCACCGAATCCATTTCGAAACTGTGAACATTTAGTTTGAAATTATGAATATTCAGTTAGAAATTATGAACATTTAGCTTGAAGTTATTAACATTTACTTTGAATTATGAACATTTTGTTTGAAATTATGAACATTTAGTTAGAAATTATGAACATTTAGTTTTAAATTATGAACATTTAGGTTAAAATCTCGAAAATTTAGTTTTAAATTATAAACATTTAGTTTAAAATTATAAACATTTAGTTTGAATTTTTGAACATTTAGCTTAAAATTATGAACATTTATTTTGAAATTATTAATACATAGTTTGAAATTATGAACATTTAGTTTGAATTTATTAACATTTAGTTTGAAATTATGAACATTTAGTTTGAATATATGAACATTTAGTTTGAAGTTATGAAAATTTAGTTTGAAATTATGAACATTTAGTTGAAAATTATGAACATTTAATGAAAAATTATGAATATTTAGTTTGAAATTATGAACATTTAATTAGAAATTATGAACGTTTAGTTAAAAAAAAACTTTTTTGAATTGATTTTTGGCCACAAACCAAGATTTTCTAATCCTTATATCTTTGAGAACCTATAGTTGTAGACCTTTAATATTTTAAACATTAAATTCGGTTAGATAAAATAATCTCAATTTGATATATATTTGAAATAGGATTAAAAAAAAATTAAAGTTCGTGGCAAAAACTTTCTTTCGGTCTGATGTCTTTCTACGTAACTTTTTCAATTTAAACAAACACATTAAGACACAAATAAAAAATGGACCTAAATCGGAACGAAAGAAAATTTATTACGAAAATAGGTAAGTTATGTTAGCTCTGATCTCTGATTATAAATATAATAGAAAAATCTAGTCGAAATGATCAATTTTATGAGTTTTTCACTGTGAAGTCTAATTTTATTTAAACCTGTTGGCGCTCACACATATTTTTTATTAAGATGCAATGTTTTACAGGCATAGCAAAATTAGGCATAGTTTTTTTTGTTCGTTTGATATATGAGAGATTTTTAAGGGTTAAAGAGGCTTAAAAATGAAAGTTTTCTATTTGTTTTAAAACAATGCAAAAGGTTACTTTTTTACTTTAAACATCTGCAGTCAATTAGTTAAATCTTGCATAATCTAATATAAAGATAACTTTGGGAATTTGACAAATAGTTCAGAATTTTGCGTGAACCACAAAAGCTAAAAACCCATTTGAATTTTTTAAAATCTTTTTTCATGATTTTTAACAATGAGAATTTCTTAAAATAGGTATTTTCAAAAATTCTATATTCTGAGTTTTTGGCAAAAACTCAGGAAATTTACTCTTCTAATTCTTTGGTGTAAAATAAAACTGGAGAAGTTAATAAGTCGCAAAGTCAAACCGTCAAATCTTCTGACTTTTGATGATGACAATGACGGCCCTTAAAACTTTATTTTTTTTTTAGCAAAAATAAAACATTTATCATTCTTTATATTGTTTTGTTTAAAATTTCAATTATTTAGATTTGCATTTAAAGTGACATCTTGGTTTTCAAATCAGGGTTTTGGTTTTAAACTTTCAATTCACATTGGAAATAGAATAAAGCATCACTACTCAGATATTAGGTCTTTTAGATTTATCAAATTGTACAAATCTTATCATTTTATGTTTTTCCCTGACCAAATATTGGTTAATTTCCATTGAGAATTAAATCTTAAGTTAGCATACAAGAAAAATAAATGCAAAAGCAAAAATTGGCTTGATTTGTAGGTTATATAGCTTTATGCTTGCAAATAGAAATAAATAAAAATTATTTTTCCTATTTTTAGCATAAAAAGGTCATAATTTTCACAATTTTGAGATGATTTTGTAGGAAATAGTAGAAACCCAGCAGAAGCATTAAAAAAACAAATAAACAAATCTGTTTATCATGATTGTAAGATAATTTATAGATGTTTTGAAAGCTCTCTCTCTAAATCTGACCATAGGAGAAACTGAAATGGACTTTTTGCATATATTTCTTTCTATACGCACAGAGCTACATCACCTACAAACAAAGTCAATTTTTGCTTTTGTATTTGTTTTTCTTGGATATTAACTTTAGATTTAGTTCTCTATGTGAATTAACCAACATTTGGTCAAGGAAAAACATTAAATGACCAGAGTTTTTGTACAATATAATAAATCTAAAAAACCTAAAAATCTAAAAAAAAATATTAGAGTAGTGAGCATAAATGCACAACGCAAAAAAAAAAATAGAAGAAAACAGTGGAATAAAGGAGAAATAATGCAGCAAACAAAGAAATCTTTAAAATTACACAAAATTTTATTAAAGAAAAGTTCGTCACAACAAAAAACATCAAATTCAACTCTTGAGCAAAACGCTTAATATTCTAAATTAGAATCTCAAAAAATTATTTCAAAGAAAGAAAGGTATAACGGGTTGACTTAGAGCCTTCGTAACTCCACTAGTTTTATTTTTACAATAAGGAGTTTGAAATGCAAAGTAACTGAGTTTTTGCCACAATCTTAGATTTTTTAATCCTTACTTCTTTGCCACTAAATGTCGTACGCCTTTTATATTTCAAACTTTGAATCCTGTTAGAAGAAATATTATAAGTTACAAATATATTGAGATACGAAAATTTGAGTTTTTGGCAAAATCTCAGTTTTTTTTGTTTAGATTAAGGATTAAAAAAAGTATTTTTCAGATTGATAACTTCCCAAAGACTAATGAAGTGTTTAAGAAAATAAAAAATATCGATACAATAACACAGAAAGATCGACCCCCTTAAGTGTTAAAAGACACGGGCAGTTTTAGTACATTTGAATTTCCGAGCTGGGTCAACCTTTCCGGTTACAGTTTGTACTGTATCGCCCGGACATTGGGTAAATAAAGCAGACACTCAATAGGACTAGCTGGTGCAACAAGGTTGACGCGGTCAGACTTTAAGTTGAATTTACTTTTACTGAAGGGTCAGTGGTGCGTGAAGAGTTTAAAAAAAACATTGCCAATAGAATATGCTTGTGCTAAGTTTGAACTTTGCATGTAAACTGAAGTTAAAGTGTGTGGTGGGATGTGTGCGAGGGGGTTCTCGCTCCTAATCAAATCAACCAAAATTGGACAAAATTGAACCAAATTGATCCTAATTAGCTTAACTTTATTGATATTGAGAAAAATGGCGGGAAATTGGTTAGATTTGGTGGATTTTATACCGTGTATCCCAGCAGGGTGCCCTGTACCCAGCATATTTTTCCAGATTTTCGAATTCACAGTTTACAGTGTAACTGAACAGTATACCAGCACTGATATATTCAATGTGTTGTCCACAACGCACTCACTCTGAAAATCAACCAAATTGGGCGTTATGGCTGTATGGATGGGGGAGCGGGAAGGATATTGGTCTTCCGACCAATCAGAGCTCCGGCGGCACCCAGCAGACCAATCAGGGCGCAGAGCGGTCCAAAATTTAGGACCATTGGAAGATTAGAGAGAATCTAGGTAGAATGCTCTGAGACTGGCTTCTAAATGAGAATATTGGCTGAAATCCTTGATATTGCTTGGTAAGAATGTCAAAAGGAATGGTTCTTGAGATCCCTTTAAGCCTGTTTTATTGTTTATATCTTTATATTGTTTACACATCATATTTAACACGGCGTATCTATATATATATATAAAGTTGTAATCTCTGTACGTTGGTCTGTCTGTTTGAATGTTCGATCATAACTCAGGAACCCCTTGACAGATTTGCATCAAATTTTGATTGGGGAACTCGGGAGGCCCACGGGAATGTTCTTATTTTGGTTTTGAGAGTCTGAGTTGGGCGGATCGGCTTTAATAGCAAAAATTTTGTTTCCCGGTAAAATCGACCAAGTGCAGGTAAACGACGATAGAAACTATGAGTAAACTGGGCAACGCTGGGTTCCCAGCCTAGTATATAAGGGATGTTAACCAAATCACATGAAGGGTTAGTATTCAATGACCTAAATTAAATTAAACTTAAGAATGAATTCTCATTTTAAAAAGCAAGCAAATTGAGATGAAATGTGATTTTATAAAAATGATGAAACGTTAATATATAAAATATGCATATTTTGTAATTTTTGTGTTTAGCAAATTCATCTAACAAAATTGAAACCTTATAAATACGTTTTTGAATTATAGTAAATTTGTTTTCATAAAAAGCAGATAAAACATCATCAATCATCAATGCAGAATAAATTTTTGGTAAACAATTCAAACAAAAAGTGCAAAGTGTAATTTTAAGTGACCCTTCATGCAAAGATGCCAATGCCAGAATCACAAGGGTACCCTTAAAAGCTTTATCTGATCAAGTATGAATTAAATATCCATGTTTTGTGACAGTAAACTGTTTTTCATTTGCTGTTTGTTTTCTCTGCGAAAGTAACACTTGAATATCTCATGATTGTCAGAGCTACTGCAAATTACATTGTAAATCGGGCATCCTTTCCTTCACTTGAAAATACGCGTACAGTTCCTTAAAACAGGGATTTTGGAAACATCTTTTTGTGAAATTTTAGATGAGATCAATTGCAAAGTTGCTCACTATCGAAATATAATAATATTATAATATTAACAGATAACGATTTTTATTAGAAATAAAACTAAACTAGAACTGAGTTGAATTTGAATTGAAAACTCTAATTTTCTAAACCCTTTATCTTTACAACCTGACAATGTAGGACTTTGATATTTCAAACTATGCATTCTGATGGATCAAATAATCCAAGTTTAAAATATTAAAGGTTTACACCATTAAGTTGCAATAGACATAAAGATTAGAAAATTTGAGTTTCTGGAATAAAATTCTTTTCTCTCTTTACATTACGCTGAAAAAAAATAAAAAAATGTTTAAAAAAATATTTTCGATTTTTTTTAGCCTTAGACACACCAATGAGTGTCCACAACAAATGTCAGCCCATTCGGTTGAGCCATTTGGCCGGCTATAGGACACATATATATGAATGTCAATTGTTTTAATATATATAGAAATATGTTGATTCTAGCTGAAGAGTCCGTGGTATTTTAAAACACTTGAACATTTATTTTGAAACATAAAAAAAAATTTATTATGAAAAAAACTTCAAATTACAGAATTTTTTATTTTCAAAGTTTGAAGCCCTTTAGTTTTGAATAGGTTAAAAAATGTTTCCTTCCGGGGCCACTTAAATAAAAAATTTGGCCACGATTCAATTATTCCTCCCCCCCCCCTGGTAAAGATTGTAAGCCACCCCTGGTCTTATGTCAGTTTTCTACATGTTTATTTATTCATAAAAGTGCATTTCCATTTTAGGGTTTATCTGTATTGTGTTTTTGTTATATGTTTCTGCATGGTATCTTTATATTTTGATACTATATATAAAACGAAAGTAATTATATATTACACCTCCATACCTTAACTCTAAGGTGTTTTTTTGTTGCTCTGAATATCGGTTTTTTCTTCATTATTTTGATTTTTATTAATACTTGTAATGAAACAAGACATTTGTATATATTTTTCCTATAGTCGGTCTTAACAGCTGCACCGAATGGGCTGAATTTTTTTTTGTGGAGACTCAAGGGTAGCCTGGGGGTGACATAGGCTAAAACAAATTATATTTTTTTTTCCACGGGCAACACCGGTCCCTTCTGCTAGTTACTTATATTAAGGATTATCCTGACCCCAAGCCATTCTAGAAATACAAGGTATTTAGCTGAAATATACCATAATGGATATGTCAATCTAACAATTTGCGAAGGATCAAATTGATCTAGAAAAATCGTCTTTCAAAAACAAATTAATATAACATTATTGTTTGTAAAAAGAAACTTCTTAAAAGTTATAGAATAGGTTATAGGAATTATAATCCTAGTTATATATTTTGATATTGTTTATATACATTACATACAGTGTAAGCTTCTTTTCTAAAAGAAACTGATTAATTTAGATGTTAAAAACATTATAATAAGTTTTTAGAACCTCTAGCGGTATGTTCTGTAACTTCTAAGAATAATTGAGATAGAATTTCCCAGTATTATAAAATATAGGCAAACAATACTTGTGTTAAACTAATTGAACTTTGCACCCTGTGTAAAGCTTAAATACATCTGCTCTATGCAAAGTACAAGTGTGACTGTTTAGAAGTTTACAACTTTATAGTCCTACATGATATATTTGAGCTGACATATTATGATATGAACTCCTCCTGAGTCCTGTGCTGCTCATTTGAAAGTTTTACAAACAACACTAGATGGAGCTACTATTTAATTCAACGATTTTACCGGGTAACACAATTTTCGCTATTTAAGTCAACCCACTTAACTTAGAATCTAAAAACCAAGTTTCGAACATTCCCGTGGGTCAGGCGCGTACGAGGGCATTTGTCTAGGGGGGCACAATTTGCGCGCGTAAGCGCGCAAAAAAAATTTTTTGGTCCCCCCCCTTGGCAACATTGGTCCCCCCCCTTAAAAACCCCTTNAGGAAACTCGTACGCGCCTGCCGTGGGTCTCCCGAGTTCCCCAATTAAAATTTAAGGCAAGTCGGTCCATAGGTTCCTGAGTTATGATCGGACAAAGAAACAAACAAACAGACAAACAGAGATTACAACTTGATATTTATAGATGTATCAAAAAATAAATATTAGTGATTAGATTGAAACCTTGCAAAGATAAAAAAAATTTGGTTTTTTGTAATTTTTTCAAGCGAAGAAATAAACAAAATTCATTTATCATTACACTGCGATTTACAAATTATTTCACACAGTTATGGCTTTGATGCAACAGCTGTTTAGACAGGGCCCACTTTTAAGTGTTGCCAGACTTTTACCCTTTGTCTGAACTTGCCAACTTGCTTTTACTTTTCTGTAGCCTTGGATTTAAAGATCTCAAAGCTATAAAGTTTCGTTTTAAACGAATGTTGGACAAAATACTTTTTGCAGAAATTTGCCTATTTTAATCTATAAAGGTTTTGAACATTGAAAAGAAATAATATTTGGTTTCACAGCATGGATCTTGTAAAGGCAACAGAATTAAAATGAACACAAATCGTATTACATGCAGAGTTTTCTGTCTAGGAGAACCTAATGCTCTAAACCTTTGATATTTTTAACAATTAGGCTATTTGATCTGAGATATTTCAAAAATTTTAAATATCCAAGTTCTACACTTCTGGATTGCCAAGATAAAGATTACTAAAACAGAGTTTGTGGCAAAGACTCATTTTCTTTAAATTAAAATTACTGTTTATCCTTTAAATTGATCTTTTTTCTTAACCTTTAGATATTTTTCCTGGCAATGCTGATGTTGTCAATTTTCAAGAAAATGGCAGGTTCTTCAGAGTAAAATCAGACTTTTGGGTTGTCCTATACTTCTACACTTCAAATTCAGTGTTTGGTTATTTTCGGAAAATACATAGTTTTGTACATCTATTTATCACAGATCTCAATCTTGTAATGTAACTTTAAATCTTTATTAGCTTTCATTCCCTTTCTTGTAGGTTTATACTTAATTCTCTCAGTTATTTGTAACATTTAATTTAGCTGCTTACTTGAGTCCAGGTCACGTGCATCCCCGGGGATTCGCCACGTGTCTAGATTCCGTGAAAGTGTGTGGGGCATTTGCGCACGTGACTCGAAGAAATTGTTGCTTTCAACCGGAGCGATGATGCGCAGGAATATAAATGGATGATTTGATTTAAAAGACATGTTTACCGGAAGTTAAGAGGCGCCAAGCCTTTTAGTCGGAGATATTAATTTGATAAGACAGAATCGTGTCAAACTAACTACAACAAAGTACATCCTATATTAGAATATTGTCAGTCAGAGGCGCAACAGATTTGAATTGAACACAGCCAAATCTGCATGCAACAACTTAAAATTTCCTTTTTTTCGACTTTAAACCCTTATAAAAGCACTTTTGTTTCTGAAAATTTTTCGAAAAATAGCGTAAGAAACCTTACATAAACTGAAATATTAAAAGTAAAAGTAAAGTAAAAAACAATTTATTTATGAAATATAACAAAAACATACAAAATTAAGTGTTTCAGGAGAAAATATTTAAAACCTCTGAAAGTAGAGGTTGTGGGAATATTTCCCGCCAATTCTAAAAAAATAAAAAAATAGAAATAAAACAAAAAAGAAAAGGCAAGGATAAAGAAAAGATACATTTTTTACACTTTTAGAAATAAATATTATAGATTTATTTGTAATGTTAAAAAAAGTAAAAAAAAAAACTTTATGGAGCGTGAAAGAGATATATTGAAAATACTTAGCACAATAAAAACTATTAAATGGAAAATATAAAAAATCGTCATCTTGAGTGAAGGTTAAGCTTCACTATTGTAGCAGGAAAGTGATGTGTTGATCTTTCCTGCGATCATAAAGGGTCTTTTTTCTCTCCTTCATCACCCCCCCCCTCTTCCATCCCTTATAAAATCCAACGGATTTATTCCTGTTTGTGTGTGAATTCTATAAATAACCCAAGCCACGCGGAAAACCCAAGCCACGCCAATAGTTCCGTTATTCCAGAGGACCGGGTGCTGGTGGGATGGCCGGCCAGCTCCCGGGGAGCTAGGGTTAAGCTCTAGGTTAGGGTGGAGTGAAATTTGGGGAAAAATGGCAGTTGAAGACCAGCTCCCTAGTTAATAGGTTCCCCTGGAGATCTCCCATCACTCTGAACTACTCTCAATTCATGCAACTTGATTCGTATAGTATTTTCCTATAGTTTTTGTATCTTTGTAAATAATAATAAATTGTAAGAAAAACCGACTCGTCGAATATTAGGTCTAATGAGTAGTTGTATTGATTCATTTTTCTTTCATATGTAACACTATGTTTTACCTCTAGTTTACCGTGGAATTATATAAGCAATGACTAAAAAAGCAACATCATAGAGAAAGGAATAGATAAAAAAGCATAATTCTTTTAAGGGCCTGACAATAATTTAAATGAGAAACTTAACTGGAAAAATATTGCAGAAAGATTT